AATCTAGGTGATCAAAAAATTTTGGATTTTAAGTAAAATAATTTCATCTTCTATGAAAAACTATTTTGACGTTTTTTTCCGAAATTGCAATTTCGGAGTTCCAAAATAATTTTGCATGCAAGTATAGTCTAGGGTGTTAAAACTGAAACTTCATCCGATTCATTCACTATTTCATTTTCTTCCTCTACTTCATTACATTCTTCTTCCAATATTCTCACAGGTCAAATACAAAAGATGTGCTGTACTGAAAAGAAATTCTGATTTTCACTGATTTATAATATAGGATGCAATAGGACAGTTGATTGTTATCGATTTTTAGCTGATAGCAAGGAATTACCATTTGATACAGTGATTCTTTTGTATTTGACTAGTGCCTTCTAAAGCTCGCTTTAATGATTATTTTTTAATTTCTAAGTATTTTAAATGCTTATTTTATATTCTAATTCTTATTTACAAAAAAATGACTATCTTGCTTCTCATCAAAATGATACATTTAAACAATTTAAATGCAACTCATAAAACTGGAAGAAAAATTAAAGATTCTTTATCGAAGTTTGGACAAATGATTCTTTTTAATAGTTTACCCAATGAGGTATGTTTATTTATAATATATATATATATAATTATATTGTATAAAGTTAAATCATGTAATCCCATTATTAACACGATATGATAACTCTACGATATCTAGAGTTGGGATGAATTAAGTTTGTTCAAAAGTGTGAATCATTTTTTAAGAATTTATTCAATGAATACATATGTACATTTAATACAAAAAAAGAAAATGAAGAATAAGTGTGATGAAATTTCTTTTTTTATATTTAAATTAATAGTTTACTCTCTTTATATTTCCTTGTAGCTAAAAACAAAGATAGTTTATCAATTACTTATGAACATTTTGCTCACTCCACTTTTATTTGTCATGTCAGAATTAGACTTTTTTTTTCTTTCGCTGCTTTGCTTGTCACTCTCATTAGAAATTATTTAAAATTATATACTTTTTAATTATTATATATATATTTTTATAATTTTATTACCTTTTTATAATTGCTTTGGATAAATATTTGATCTTAAATTATTTATTCACTTAAAATCAAGATATCTTACATAGAAATTTATGCTTCTCATATAATTATTATTTTAATTATTATTTTAATTATTATTTTATTTTAATTATTATTTTAATAATTATTATTTCAATTAATTATTGTTTTATTTTAATTATTATTTTAATGATGATTATTTTAATTATTATCTTAATTATTATATTTTAATTAATTATTTGTTTTAATTATTATATTTTAATTACTATTTTAATTATTATATTTTAATTTCTAAAGAACCAAAATTTATTTATCATTCATATAGTTTATTTGCGTGTTCTCCTCCACTTGAACAAGTTTAAAGTTATGAGATTTCTCTTCGCATTTAAATATTATTTGTGTTATTGCTCAACTTATTTTAACGATAGATCAATTATTGAATGTTCCAAGGTTATTATCCTTATCTTTTACGTTCTTTTATTTTTACCTTTTTTTACAAATCAATGATATAAAGGTAAATAAATTATTATAGTAAGTAATATAGCCCAATGGAATTACTATAAACAATAAGAACAATGCGTGATAATTTATATGAAGATATCCATTTGATCTGAGCGACTTCCATAACTGCTACCTTTCCTCATTACTTCCACTAAAGTCATTACTGCGGTTTAGAATAATAACAAAGCCATCAACACCACCACCAGAGTGACTAAGACTAAGATGATTAATATGAAGGTGATAAACAATAACAAGAAGGCAACAAAAACAAATATGAAAACAATATAAAAAAAATTATAACCATATAAATTATATATATCTACCCCTTGATGATGAACCAAAAAGGTTGGTTTTGTATTTTCATTTATTTTATTTATTGATTTATTTTTTATTATTTTTTATTTATTTTATTTATTTATTAGATATTTCCTTTAAAAAATTATTTCATTCCATTGCTTTCATTTTTTAATTGCCATTGAACATGGCATGAAATTATTAAATGAGATTTATAGTAGCTTATTTAAAGCTCAGACTTAATTCTTTAATTCGTTGAGTTTTTTTTTAGAAAAAATTGTATTTTTATTAAGAAAAAATCATTTATTCGTATTTTTAATTTTTACACTGTTATTTATTCATTGATTTATTATAAAATTTTTTGATGAACTTTTTATTTTTATTCGTATTTCTATACTTCATTTTTTTTGTTTAGTCTTAAGTTTCTTTTTGGACTTTTTTATTAGAAAAAAATATGAATCAAACGTAAAGAAAAAAAATTCAATAAATAAAAGCGTATATATAAGTATGTTATATTATCCTTAAATTATCAATTAAATATTCATTTTAATAAAAAAAAATCAAATGAAAATATACTTTCTGAAACTCTTCTACGTATTTTAATTTTATAGAAATGACGTTTAAAATTTTTAGAAATTTATCTCTAGAATTTTCAGAACTTCTTAATTGACAAATAAGAATACATAAAAATAAAATGTTATGTTATTATAGAAATTGAGAAAGAACCAAATAAAGGATCACTGCGCACTCAGCCATTTTACGAACGATCATCCTACTTTTAATGACACGAGTATGATAAAAATAATAACAGATAAAAATAGAAAAAAATTATGATATCATGATTATATAGTATATTCAAAACTTTCTTAAATACCTTTTTTTTTCTCAGTACCCTTTTAAGATTAAATAAAAAAAAATGTCATTTAAATTTTTTGATAAGTTATCTCAAGACTTTTCAGAACTACTTAATGACAAAGAAGAATATAATGTTATCATTGAAGTTGATAAGGAATCAAATAAAAAATCCTTCACTGCACACTCAGCGATTTTACGTTATCGTTCATCTTACTTTAATAAAGAATTATCAAATATTGTCACTTCTGATGGTAATAATATTAAAACAATCACTAAACAAAATATTTCTGCTCAAATATTCGAAATTATTCTCAAGTAAGCATAATTTTTATCTTATAAATATTTATTCATTTCTTTATTTTTTTTAAAAAAAAATTTAATAAGCATTTTTATATATATATATGGTACGAAATATTAATATAATTTAATAATTTTTTATAGATACATTTATGGCGGAATTATTGATTCAGAAAATGTTGATACGAAAACTATATTCGAATTAATGATCGTTGCTAATGAGTTAAAGTTAGAAGAATTATCCGAGAGATTCGAAAATTATTTTATTGAATCCAGAACTTCTTGGTTAAAAGCTCATCTCACTTTTGTTTATAATTCAATTTTTAAATATAAAAAATTTAAAAATTTGGAAAAATTTTGTAATGATATTATTGCAAAATATCCAAGTATCATTTTTGAATCTGCAGAATTTACTTCTCTTCATGAATCTGCTTTAGTGTCAATTTTAAATCGAGACGACCTACAGATGCAAGAATCCGAAATTTGGGATCACGTAATTAAGTGGGGAACTACACGGAATCCTACTTTACCCAAGAAATTGGAAGAATGGTCAGATAAAAACTTCATGACTTTAAAAACAACTCTACAACAATGCTTACCACATATTCGTTACTTTCACATTCCAAATTTAGAAGTTATGAATAAAATTAAGCCATATAAGAAAATTCTTGACAAACAATTGTGGGATGACTTGAAACAACATTTAATGCTTCCAAACCAACCAATAAAATCTATCATTTTACCACCAAGATCAGTTTTAACTCGAGAATTACCAGCGAGAGTAAATGAATCATTTTCGACTATAATCGATGAAGAACATGCAGCAATTATTTCATCATGGATTAACAATCAACCAACAAATTTAATAGGTAGTACATATGGATTTCAATTACTTCTTCGTGGAAGTAAAAATGGATTTGCTCCAAGAACATTTTGGAATATTTGCGATGGTTATGCCAATACAGTTGTGGTTGCTAGAATTAAAGGAACAAACGAAATTATTGGGGGATTTAATCCGTTAATTTGGGATAAAACAAAAGACGGTTGGGTAAAAACAAATGAAAGTTTCATATTTTCATTTAATAATGAAGGTAATACTCAAAATTCAATTCTTAGTAGAATTAAAAATCAAAATTATGCTTTACGTTATCCTTATTTTAAAGATAATTATGGACCAACATTTGGAGATTGTGAATTTATGTTGAAATCAGATATATCTGATTTTAGTCAAGATAAGAAAAACGCTTGTTATAGTTCTAGTTTTAATAATTATGAAAACCCTATTAGATCAACCAGCGATGAATTTTCTATTACAGATTATGAAATATTTACAGTCATTAAAATCTAGCTATAAAAATAAATTGAACTATGTTATGTTATTTCTTAGTTTAATATGTTATCTTTTTATAATTAAAAATATTATATAGTATTAAATAAATATATTATACTATTCCAAACCAAAAGCAAAGGATAATCTTACCGAGATATCCTCAGAGTGAAAACATATTAGATTAATTTCGAACGTTAAAAAAACCGCATCTCGAATCTTTTATATTGTTACGTCTCTGTTCCTGGATTTTGAGAAAATTGCTGGTCATTAATACATAATCTATAATTATAATTCATATGATATTTAGCAAAACACATCAATCTTTTCGATTCTTTTTTTCCTAATTTCTATACTGTTATTTAATCTGGGGGTTTTTTAAAATATCGTAAATGTTACTTCAAATTAAAAGAACCACGTAAACAAGAGTGGGAAAAAATAATTTTTATTGAATAAAAAATTCAAAAAAAAAAAAAATGATAAATGACATACAGTATCTCCTTTTTTTTGAGTTTCTTGAACATGTATAATCAAGTCAACGTAAACAAATAGATTATTTGGATTCGAAATTTACCCATCTATTAAGGTGATGATTTTTAAGTCATTGGTTCTTAATTTCCGAAAGTAAATTTTATATTTAAAGGACAAAACGTTCAAATTTCGAATTTTTTTTAGTCTTGTTTTTATTGAAAATAAAATGATACATTTTTTGTGACCTCATTATTATAAGTCACCAATTGTTCAAGTTGCATAAGTTCAATATCGTATGACAATAGTTGAGGTTTTGCCCTCTCCAAGGATGGCGTGGCGAAGAGACTGGAGATATTTTTTGTCGTTAAGTCGTCAATTGCTTTATGTACACTAATATTTTTCAGGTTCTTACATTTGTGCACATTGTGTTGAACGTTGAGCCATTGGAATTCGTGGCATAATTCGAATGTATTTTATTTATTTTTTTTTTTGCAATTGTAAGTTAAATTTTTTTTCACGAGAAAAAAAAAGTATGAACAAATTTTATTTATTGAAATAATTAATTAATTTTAACTAAAATGTAAATAAAATATAAATCAATAAATTTCGAAAATAATAAAATAATAAATAATATAAAAAATTGCTAAAGTTACTGGCGAGCTTTAGCAATGTGCAATAATATAAACGAAAATGATATTAAATATATTTTATTATCAATAATTTGAACTTTTCAGCATTAAGGAAGAATATCAACGGCTGATGAATTGATTAGTATTAATTTATTACATACATATGATATTATTTTAAATTATTTTATTTGTTCTCTTATTATATTTACAGGATGATTCGTTTAAAAGAATCCGATATTATAGTTGAAATACTTTTTTCGTCCTTTTTATAGATCTTTAAAAATCGGAAAAAAATAAATGAAGAAACAAAAGAAATTAAAGAAACGGGAGGATCAGAAGAAATCGGAGAAATGGAAGAAAGGATAATGATGTTTATTATACAAGAGAGGAGAGTAGATATATTAAAATCGATAATTTATCGTTAATTATTGTATATCGAATAACTTTTTTAATCAATTATATACTATAATCAAATTTGTTAACAATATTGCAGAGAGTGGAATTAAAGTTTCGAATATTTCTAATCAGTGCATGCTATTAAACAATCAATTCGTAAATATTTAAATTCATCAATTTAATAACTTAGTTCAATCAATTATAAATTAATTTTTGTACATTAATATTAATATTACAGGGAGTGAATATCTGATTAAAAGGTTTCATTAAATGAAATGAAGATTTAATTCAATGATGCAAAATATGTATCTTTTGGACATTTTATTTGATCTTGTTAATCTTTATTTTATTTATATTTGATATTGAATTATTTATTATAAAATTAAAGCAGAATCGTTTAAAATAAATTATTATTATCTTGATATTTCAAAATCTTAACTATTTAATGATATGTGTTCATAAAGTTTTTTAAAATTTTTTTTTTTGATACCTCAAGATTGAAACGTTCACATTCTCTTCTACCATTCTACCATGAATAGAAATTAATTACGGTATTTTATTATTGTTAGTTTTAATCTTATATGAAATTGATCAGATAACCTTTTTAAAAAATTTTAATGATAAATATAAGTGATATATTTATATCAAACCATTCAAGTATTATAAGTATTATTTTTGAATCTGCAATATATTTTTAAAACGTGATGATCCACGGAAAATTTGAATCCCTACTTTATCCGAGAAATTAGGACATTTCAAATGAACCATTTCGAATGTAATTAATGAAGAAGAAGATTTTATCATGGGTTGATGACCAACTAACAAGAAAATAATCTATATGAATTTCAATTAAAAATTATATAATTTCACGTAGTTTTGTTATGATACACAATTTGATAAGAAAATTCTCTGATATTGTCGCGGTCTGCGCAGAACAATGTGGAAAGTTACGCAAATCAGTCTCAATGTATCACTAACACACTTTCTCTTGTGCGCAATATCTTAAAACACAGCAAGACAGGCAATCAGTCGATCTAAGCCTGCTTACTGACACTCACAAACAATGCAATTACGTGTAATATCTGAAGGTACGATGAGCAAGTGGAGTAAAAGTATCTTTATTACTG